AATACATTACGTATACTTTCCACACTTTGTGTATCATTTTCTCGCATCTTTGTCATGTGGATTTTATGTTAATATCAACGAAATCTTGATGAGAAAATATCATTCAACACCATTTATAAGTCATATAATAATGGAAGATACAAAAAGCCCAATTTGTGGGTTTGGGTTGCTCTCAATAATTAAGAACGTTTTCAAGGATGTGCCACTTTTCGTTTTCTTATTGTGTTTTTTTGTCAAGTTAACTTTTCCCAACAGTTTGAGTGACACGAGTGGAATTGTTTTGATCTCTTTGTATTTTTGTTATTGGTATGTTTTTAATCTGATTTACTTTCCATTACTCTCGTTTTTTTATTGTAATAAAAACAAATCTTTTTGTTTTGGCCACGTGACTGTTGCGGATCAAGAAAAAGAACTATTTTGTGGTGGGTGTTCTTGTTTGTTTGGTGTATTTCCAGCAGTATCTTTTGCGACTTCTTTTGTGTTCATTTACAAAATCATTTTTTATTCGAGTGGAATGAGTTATTTGATTGCATTTGTGCCTATCATCGTGATAATGGGGTGTATTTTTCTGTGCGGGAATTTCAGTTGTTGTTGGATGACACATAAAGAAATGTGTCCACAGCTTTGTCCAGATTGGTGTGGTTGTTTAAAAACGTTGTTTTGTTGTATGTGTTGCAAATATCCAAATGAAAATACACTACATAATGGCGTATATTATACTATAATGTAAATCACAAACAATAATGGATATGGATTGTGATTTGGTATATATTCTTATGAACAGATACCATTTAATTAAATATTTAGTAAATTAGTCTCATTTTTTGCATTGACAAACAAATTAAATATTGTGCTTCAAAACCGAGCAGTCTTCCACAAAAACTGATTAAGGATGAAAGAAAAAATGGGCGACAGAAAAAACCAAGGATTAATTAATGTAAAAATATACTATTTGTTTTTTATTTTTTCAAAAAAAATCAATTTCTATGAAAGACTCAAAAATTAATTAAAATAAATCTATCAAGCAAATATTTATTGTCACCAATTACTTTATCTGTACATACTTAAAAGTTACTCCGTTTTAGGCTGTTTTCAAAATAAATATAAAAACAAACAGTATAACATTATACATAAACTATAATCATAAAATTATCGAAAATATTATTAAAAAATGCTTTCGTTTAACTTAATAAAATAATGTTGTTATGTTATCTAAATTGAGGCCGCTTGTATTGCGTTAAGTATACAGTTAGTCAAATCAAGTGTCAAATTTTTGATTCAAAGTGCCCCACACTACTTTATAATTGAGATAAATTGTAACGAAATTTCATCAATAAAAGGAATTTTATTTATACAAAAGTCTACGTTTGGCAATTTGCACATTGTTAATTATTTAATTGAAAATGTCCTGTCATTGTGAATCTGGTTATGTTCTGTTGCAATGATGATGATACAAAAGCACTAGAGCACAAAACTATAATTACGAAATCTTATTATATTATAATATTATAATATATTATTATCACCAGTTGAATGTCTTCGTCATGTAAAGGGATATTATACCGATATAGAAAGCAAATGCCTCAAATGCAACACAAAACACATGGAATGTTCGATGAACACTGAGAAGTGTCAAAATTGCACTTAAAAGCATCTGCAGTTCATATAATGTAAATGGGCAGTATGTGTGATGTGTAGATGGGTATTTTGTCAACAACAAAAAGTGTCGAAAGTGTGATAATAATGTGTGATTTGAAAAAGGATTGTATTGGTGAAAAGTGTGATAACAAATATATTATGAATAAAAACGGTGTTTGTGATAGTGTATATTACTAATTGTGGTGAAATATCAGAGACTTTGGGATGTTTGAAATGCTCGATGTGTATATATAATGTACAAATAATATGAAACATAAAAACATACAGATAGAGGAAAATATTGGTGACAAGGATAAAGTCAGTGACAAGAAATAATGTTTTATAAAACAAAAAAAAAACAATATTAACATTTTAATAACATATAATTGAATTAACAATTACTATCATTTTTTGCATAAAGTGTTGTATACATTGTAACGCCTATTTCTTATTACTTAATGAACAATTCACAGAATATTTTGGCTCTCTTACAAAACTGAATAAAAGACTCATTAACTTTAAAAAAATAACACACAACATTAACATTTAAAAAATAAAAAGAAATAAACCAGTCAGAAACAAATGAAAAAATTATCGCGTCATTTCAAAGTAAAGCAATAGTTTCCCGTAATATTGAATGCGCTTTTCACTTTTTCAATGATATATAAAGTGCTCTTCGACTTGTCAAATTGTTTTAGACCGTTTTTAGACAACAGTATTCCCCAATCAAACAACAATGATTAAACTCACAGCCCCAACAACAACGTTAATGTCATTAACATTGCAGACTTTGACTCCAAACAAAAAGAGATAATAAATAAGACAATAGTCTGCCACATCAAAGAAGTGACAGATCTCATTGTGCTTGATCTATCCAACGAGGGTCTAAATAATCATATTATTTCAGAAAAAGTAAAAAAATATGTAAAGAACAAATCCGTCTTAACGAAATAGTAAGACTGTTACCTTTTTATCATCTCAACTAAACTCGTTGTAATTTAAAGTGTACAATGGCAATAATTGGAAGAGTGTCTGGCTTTCTATTGTCTTTGGTTAATTTGAATGAGTTATGTCGATGAGGGTTCGTGATTTCATTGGTGATCATTTGTTTTTTTATTATTGAAGTTCTTTTTTTATTAAGATCACCTTTTTTCAGAAAAGCTTGAACACATTCTTGCCCTTTTTGTGTTTTTTTAAATTTACAGTTTTTTTCCCCTTATTTTTTGGAAAACAACGAAAAAATAGCATCGGAGTGTTGTCACCTACTTTCCCTTTACCAATTATTTATTGGGATTAAAAACTTGGATTAACAGAGAAATACAACTATTGAACAATAAACATGCTCAGAAAAACGGGTTATTTATACTTTGTCGTTTACTTTATCCTCCATTTGTATTAGTACGGTTGAATAAATTAAACATATTTGCATGATTCTATTTCTTGTTTTCTTTGAATTCCCATCTTTTCATTCAAAAAATATCTGCTTTAAAAAATCAAAAACCCATAAGCAAAAGCTTCTGTATTTTATTCTCATAAACAAAAAAATATTTCATAAGTGACTATTTAAGTCACCTTCATTTTATTTTCATATTCCAAAAAAATAAAGGGTAAACAACAAATGGTAAATTTTTCATTATGTTTGTATTTATGGTCATACACAGCTTTGCTATTTGACCGTATACATCAATAAACAGTACCATTACACTCTTATTACAACATTATCAGTAATTATGTAATAACAATGAAATGTCTAAAAAAATTCAAACTAAATTGAATTAAAATATCTTCCAAAATAAAAACATCTTTATCTACTCAAATACAAAATATTTTTTATTTGTTTTCTTTTTCAAAATTATTATGTACTTGACGAGTTGCTTTTTAATTATCCTTATTGGTATTTTTGCAATGTATTATGAAATATGAAAATTATATTCAAAAAGTGTGCCAATTCAAATATTGATTCGAAAATTTTAAACTACAAGTTTGTTGGTAAACATAGAAAAAAAGAAAATGAAAATATTCAATTGTAGGATTAGGTGGATCTAAGAGTGTGGTTCTGAAAAATTGAGAAAAATCAGAAACAATTTCTGTGTTGTAAGAAGTTATTTGTTTTGATCGGAATAATTTAACCGTAGGAAGGAGGAACTGGAAAAAATAATAAAAATTATAGGATTTGAATTTACATCCACTTTTTTTAATTATGAAAAAAACAGATGTTGATAAACATAATTAACATAAAAATTAACTATTTAAAATAATTATATTTTATCAATAATATAATATAATAATTTTTGACAAAAATCAATTTTAACCAAACTAACTAACTAAACCAAATTGATAAGATCAATAAAGGATTCCGACTTCAATAAAGAACACGTCTTTGGACACTCAGAATGATAATTAAATAACACCTGTCTAAACAATGAAACTGATTGTTTGGACACTTTTGTTCATGTAAAAAGAACTAAATTCAAATACATTGTTTGTTAAAATAAAGGATTTGATGTTTGGTGCTGTTATGAACACTTCCGCGCAATATGTATCAATTGTAAAGAATAAATAAGTATGGTTATGATTATTTGTTGATTTTATTTTTTTGTATAAAAAGAAATAATAAATAGTATTTTCCAGTTGGTCCCAAAGGAAGGGGATAGAAAAAGGTGGATTTGAATCAGCGTTCTAAGGTTAAAATTGTTTAGTTACAGTTCGTATTTCTAAAAATAATCTAGATGTCGTATTTTTAACATGATGTAATTTTGGAATTGATCTGTTAATTAATTGAATAATATTTAACAATTTATTTGTTCAGAAAAAAATAAAATTTGTCTGTTTATTTATAAAATGCTCTATTTTTAAGAGTTGCGACCCGATTTTGTGGCCTAAAAAGATTTGGCGCATCCAATAATTTGGGATATTCTGCCAATAAGCACTGTATTGGGTTTTTTCTTTTATTTATAATATTATCATATTATAATATGATTTATTATTCAAAATGAATATGTTGTCATATTTTATAGAGTAGACATGTCAAATTATCATTTGGGTCGAATTGAAAACGACAACAAGTGATTTGGAAAAAAGTTAATGATAAGGATTGCTTTATCATTAATTTTAATGAATGACAATTTTATTAATATTTAATGGTTTTTTTTTCTATATCGAGTATAGTAAATTATAGTTTAATGTTTTCGGTCTAGTTCTTTTCTTTGTTATATTTTTAGAATATCGTTAAATAAAAACAGACTTTATAACTACAGTAGGGAAAATGAACCTTAGCCCAAAGAAATTCCTATATTTTTCTTTAAAAAAACGGGTTTTTAATAAAAGAACAAATTTTTTATAAAATTGACTTTTATATATGTATAGTTTATTATTTTAATATAATAATAGAAAATAATTAGTTTTTCTTTGGGCTAAGGTTAATTTCCTGGGCGAAGGTTTGTTTGCCCAACTGTACAGTAAAAAATAGTCGGAGATTAAATAATTGTAAGAAGTAAAATAAATGGTTTCAAAAGTTTAATTAAGAACTATTATAAAAATAAATTTAGTTACTAACGATTTTTTAGTGTGCCTTTTTTTCACCTTTTAAAAACCCGTTATTTTCAAGCCAATCAAAGGGAAATACACCGTTCTGACAATTATTTAATCTCTGATAATTACTTGGTCAACTGTATATTAAAATTATATAAATAGGGTTTTGAAAAGGGTGTTGTAATTTAAATATAACTCCAACATTGCCTAGTTGTAGTTAATTTATTAATAAAACTATAATTTCAATACAGTCAAAAATACGAAATAATAAGAAAAAATCTTTTCACAATAAAAAACCAGTTATTTGTCATTGTCGACAAATTTGTGTGTATATCCAAAGTTTCCAAAATGTTATAGTAAAATATAAGTAAAATAAACCATATATAATTTGTTATAGAGACTGGGATTAAAATAGTCGATATTGTTTATATTTGTAAACAATTATTTAGAAAGGTACTTAAATATATGGTAAACATATAATAATAGTAAACAATAAGTAATAGCAACTAACAAGGAAAAAATAAATACAAATTCCAAATGCTTGTGTTTGTCTTTGTTCTCATTCCCCTTGCAACATCGCACACGCTAACTATAGTGTTAGTGACAGCTCCCAAGGAAGGGGTGATGTCAAAAGCGCTTTTACGTACAATGAAGGACTTGTTTGCAGCTTTCAAAAACATGCCTCCTGATTTGGAGATAAGCAACTTTTACTTTGTAAAGGGGTGTTTGGAAGATTGCGATTACCCTGATTTAGAAAAAGTCACACAGATTATGAAGGTCGAATTTCCAAACATACCTGTTATAACCTATTGGCCTCATTTCCCATTAAAGGAGGGAGCAATTCCATGTGAATGGGGAAACGAATATTATTCCACACATTACAGTCGAATAGGTGCGCCAGTTTGGAGTGAGCAGATATTTAGGAAATACATGACAGTCAATTACTTGTTCAGATCTGCACTACACCACTCCATAAAAACACATCCCGCAGATTATTATTTGATGGCAGAGGATGATCAAACGTATGAAAGTTACACATTCTCAGCAATCAAAGAGTTGATGGAAAGAAACAAGAACGAGAACAAAAGGTGCTTCTCTAAAATTTCGACTATCGAGAATGATTATGGAAAGTTATACACAGATGATATATCATATGTGAATAAATACATTTGGGGAGCGTTTGGTGTTCTTCGGTCGAAAAGTGAGACAGAGCTGTTTTTGCGTGGTCTCAAATATTCAAATTACCACGACTCAGAAGATTGTACTGCCCATGTCATTTGTAGGTACGTCAATAGAACAAACGTTGAATTGAACGTCGTTTCGCAGCACTTCGGAAGGAACGGGAAAATACCTAAATAAGTATAAGTAATGTGGATCTTAAATGATTATTATGACTATCATTTTTTGTTTGTCAGAACCAACTAAATCAAAAAAAAACGCATTTAAAAATATTAATTGTCAAGTTATAACATAAACAGTTTGTTGACAACAGTAAAAGGCTCTATTTGTCTTAATCTTAATTTTCGAACAAGTCTATTTGTCGTGCAACTGGCCAATCATTATGGTTTACGACAATTAATTTATTTTTATTCTCCTATTTGTAACTTTTGTTGAATTAAAAAGAATTTTTTTATAAAAATAAATTTCAATATAAAAAAGAATTTTTTAAAAAATTCACTCGTTTATTACAAATAAATTATTTTTTTTGTCGAATTCACGACAAATAGACGCCTTTGACTGTAGTTTTAAAACCCTTCAGACACAAAAATAATTCAAAGGACGTTTTTATACACAGAGGGGACATTTTTAAATAGCGGGAGGACGTCCCTAATTCACAAAGAACGTTTTTCGTTAACTTTCCTTTATTCTATCACTATGTCCATACTTACTATTAACACATTAAATATTATAATTTTAAATATAAAAACACATTTTAGGAAAATACCAAATGAAAAAAAAATAAACTTTGTCTATTATTATGTTGAGTTTATTTTACAAGTCGTGTGAGAAATTCTAATCTTTAAATTCTCTAAACTTCGACGCATTTTGGTATATGAACAATACCTTAAATTGTTTGACTGTTTGGGGTTTTGACAACAGACTTTTTTTGTAAAATATAATATAAATAACCTCACTCTTCCTATTGTGAATACAGACTTTTAACATTTGATGTTTTCCAGTTTTTTTAATTAAATAATAATAATTAAAATATAATTAAATAGAATATTAATAATTTAAACATATCAATATATTATTATAGTATTCTTATAAAAACAAAAGAAAATCACTTTTAGTGTTTTTTATTTCCTTTTTTAGATGTATTCTCCCCTTTCTTTCCCTTTTTCTGTTTATCTGAACATCCTTTTTCAGCCTTTTTTTGTTTGGTGTATTGACTTATATCAAAAGAGTAGCATCCCACAAATGCATTTTTATCAAAAGAACCAATTTTATTCAAATTTTGGACATTATAAAGTTGACTACATGATTCAAAACAATTCTCCCCAAGTTTCAAAATCTTGCAAGGCAATGTAACAGATTTTAATTCAACACAATTATAAAAACAATAATTTCCAATAGAAGTGACACTGTCTGGAATACTGACGTGTTGTAATGAAATACACAAGGAAAATGAATATTCTCCAACTTTTTCACATTTAGTAGGAATGTGTATTTCTACAAGTGAAGAACACTGATTAAAACAATAATTTGGTATTTCTACAATATTATCACTTAATATGACATTTTTGATATTTAAGCAGTGTGCAAACATATTATTTGAAATTCGAATAACAGTTTTGGGCAGTTCCAATTCCGTTAAAGCACAACAACCATTAAAACAACTTTCTTCAAACGCAGTAATAGAGTGACAAAATTCAATTTGACTTAATTTACCACAACAATCAAAGCAGTGTTTTTTAATAACTTTCACATTTCCTGGTATATGAATGTATGGCAGTTTACTACAATTTTGGAATACTTCACTATCAAGTGATGCAATTAACAGGGGAAGTTCTACTGAAGTCAAAGAAGAACATCCTTTGAAACACCCACCACCAATGTTGTTAACTGTATTTGGAAGTGAAATTTGACTAAGTGAAGTGCAATAACTAAAACACGATTTTTCAATAGATAATACCCCATTTGGTATATTAATAGATGAAAGTGAAGAACAGTGTTCAAAACATTTGTAACATAACACAGACACAGTTGGTGGAATTTTTACTGTTTTCAATGAAGTGCAATAATTAAAAAAATAGTCGCCAAGTTGATATAAACTCTCGGGAAGAGTGACGTTAACTAGATTTGAACACATATAAAAACACGAATTTCCTATAGTAATGACACTGTCAGGAATTGATATGGAAGTCAATGAACACAATGAGAAACAATAATATTTGATCTTTTTAAGTGTTGTGGGAAGTGAAAAAGAAGTTGCTTTACTGCTGTAAAAACACTTTTTCCCAAGAGATGTTATGTGGTTTGGAATTCTAAAAAGTCCTGTTTTGGTGTTGTTAACAAAACATTCCTTTTTTAAGGAATTCACAATGGGAGGAATTTCTCCATTACATATCTGCATTGTTAAAGGAGTACAACTCACATTTTTAAAGTCAAAAGTGGCGTATGCTGGATCAAGCGTATTTTCATAAGGTACTCGAAACCAGACGACTGTTTTATAAAAAGATCGTTTCACTTCAGAAAGAAGCGGTTTGTCCCATCTTTTTAAATATATGTATTTTTTACCAAATGTCTGGCTGCATCTACTATATAGGTGTAAAGTTTCAAGATGGGGAAAATAGCTGACAGTTTTGTTTGTTAATGTTACAGGATTGTAATGGAACTTCTCCATGTTGTTGTAAAACTTTTTACAAACAAATTGCAATTTGATGAAGTCAAGAATTGTCGAAAAGTACTTTGAAACAATCATGATATGATATCCATCAAGTTGTTGCATTTTGTATTTGTTATTTTACAAATGTTTATAAACTCAAAATCAAATAAAAATAGTATGGTTTGAATCTTGACATCTTTTTTTTAAAAAACATGAATATAGTCAGTCTGAAAACGTTGTCCGCTCTCCAAAGTTGTACAGGAGTTTTTGAACCATTAAAACTGGAATATTTCGGGAAACAGTTCTAAACACTCCCAAAACATCGTTTCATAATTTTTACTTGCTTTTCAACATTTTTTTCTAATTCCCAAATTTTTAAACTTATTTTGTGTATTTTTTTCAAATGGACAACATTTTACAAGCAGACAACGTTTTAAGACAGACTATAGTATATTGCCTAACTTAGTTATCAATTTTAATAATATTGATTATTGGTGAAAATGTATAACATTAATAACTCATTTTAGCATTTTATTATTCTCCAGTTTATCGCAATATTTGAACGCTTCAAACCCTATTTCCACAATACTGTTGTTGGTGTTGATTTTTGTTAAATTTTTGCAACAATAAAAACATTGTTGACCAACACTGGTAACACAGTTACCCAATGTTACACTTTCAAGTTTCTTACAATTGTAGAAGCAGCTATTTCCAATTGAAACGACTCTATTTGGAATATTGATATCAATAAGAGAGTTGCATTGACAAAATGTATACGGTTGCAACACTCGAAGATTGTTTGGTAACACCACTCTTACAAGGTTTTGGCAACTATAAAAACAACTTCCTCCAATAAAAGAGACTTGATTTGGGATGTCTATTGATTTCAAAGTATTGTCGTTGTAATAGCAGTTTAAGTTAAGTGAAGTAACACTTTGTGGTATTACTTTACCAAAACTGTTTTTGTTGTCTTGTGTGTAACAAACATTGAAGAACATAAACACGCCTTTAATGTTTAACAAGTAGTCTTGGTATGTAATTGGATAGAAAACTCTAACACGGTAAAACGACTTTAATATTTCAGAAAAGACCATCTTTTTAGGAATTATAGTTTTGATGTGATTTCCAAATGTCTCATCTTTTTCGCTCCATAAATTGAGAGTTTCAATGGATGGGAAATGTTTTATTGTTTTGTTCGTCAGTGGAATTGGGTTAAAATGGAACTTTTCCATATTCCCTTTAAACTTCTTGCAAACTATTTCTAAATTGACAAAGTCGGAAAACGACATAAAGTATTTTGAGACAATCATTATGTGAAATGAATCTAAAGTTACCATAGACTTTTTTATTAGTTTAATTTAGTAAATCAAATATTCGTTATAATTATTTTATATTAAGTTCAAAAAATTAATTTATAATTATATTATTAATGTCAATCAAAAGTAAATTGATAAAAAAAACACATTTACATATTTATTTGAAAAAAACACGGTAAATGGTGGAAGATAATCGCAATGATAATCAATATAAATTTAGAGGCCCATTATGTCGGATAAGACTTCTATTTCTGGAATCTTTTAAATGTAATAGAATGGATCTTCTGGTCTTAGTTTTAATGAACAAAAGAAACAACCATATTAGTTTATTATATTTTAAAAACAATTTATTATGTATTTGAACTGTTTGAATTGCTAATAGTTATTTTAATTAAAATAATTAAATTAATATAATAGTTAAAATATTGATAAACATATTATACATAAACTACTGTTTTTTAAAAAAGGATGTGAAAAAACCGATCAATTTATTCCTCAAAAACAGCAACTTTTCTCTGTTGAATTTTAGACATAGACATATTTATTTCTTTGAGTGAAATAAAAAGATCGTTGTTGTTTCTTGTAAGTGTGTCTCTGATGATTTGAAGAGGAATTTTCTTTCCAAAGTTCATTTGGATAGCAATAAGAAGCTCAAAGGGGTATTGATATTCTTCTTCGATGATTGAGTCCATTGTGTTTTGATTATTAGACGCTCCCTTATAAACCGCCTTTTGCCTTTTTCACTCATTCTTGTTTGTCTTTTCATTCTTTCCATCATTGTAACTTTCTGTTTATTATTTGACTTTATTTTTCATTTTTGAAAAAACATTTCTATATATAATATTAAAATAATAAAAAAAAACTATAAAATAATTATAATTATAATTTTAATTTATAATTTCTATTTTTTATTGTAGTTAATAATTATAATTTAATAATAAATAAGTACTATAATCATTAAGATGTTTAAGTTTTTAACATAAAAAATTTCATATAAAATATCATTTTTTCAATTGTTTTCTATTTAATATTTGTTTGTTATCTATTTAATAAAATTATAGTTATTATACTATTAATATTTGACCCAGAAATTAAAGAAGCACTCTACTTACTCCAAAAAGATGATAGGGACATCCTCTCGTGGTACTTGACTGGTGTAGTGGTATAAAGGAACACCCATAGCTAAACACCCAACCACTTTCTTTCCTTTCAGTCCAACAATATCAAGACACTCATTGAACGAAAACATGAACTTTAACAAGCCACACCAAAGAGAGCCATACCCTTTGTTGGTTGCTGCAAGTTCAAGTTGGGTTAAAGCAATAGTTCCGTCATCATTTGCCCAAACGTTTTGAGAGTCGTCGACGTAAGCAATAACAACATGTGGAGCCTTTCTGACGATCAAATCGACACTCAAAAAGTTACCAAAGATATTAACGATTTCTGGAATCTGCAATGCTACTTCATTTAATTTTTTAATTACATCTGTTAGCTTTGGCTCATTTATTACAAGATATTTGATTGGTCTCCAATTCTTGGCGGAAGGGGAGAATCTTGTCAGATTGATAAGTTCAGTCAACTCTTCTTTGGGGATTGGGCCTTTAAAAGATCTTGTTGATCTTCTTGTTTTAATAGCGTCTATGACATCTTTATGTCCTTCTGGAACGTTTTCAAGTGGTTTTTCGAAGAGAGTGATTGCTTTGCTTTTACAAATTGAAGCACAGTGTCCACATTTAAAGCAGTTTGAAGCTTCTTCTTCCACAATCGTGATCTTGTGGTTTTCCACTTTGAGACACTGTGTTATGCAGTCACGTGCACACATACCGCATCCTCTGCACAACTCAGTGTTAATCTTCAAGCAACTCATTTGATGTTTTTTTCTCGTCCTTATTCTTTTTATACCATTTACTGTTTTTCTATTTTTACGAAATGTTCGAAATAAATATTATTGAAATTATCCCGTTTTTGTGGGGGTCATAAATATGGGTTTTACGATAAAAATACAATAAGAAGTTCAATGAAGTGTTTATCTGTAGGTTTTAAGATTTTACAAATTATAATTAAAGTATTATCAATATATTAAATATTTTGTTGTATAATAAGTAAATAATATTCCAACTTGAACCCAGTGTGGTGGGTATTTTTTAATTCATCAATTGTTTTAGTCATCACACCGGTTGTTGAATTGGTTGTATTTTGTTCAGTATTTTGTCAAAAGATCTTCAATGAAATCATTGGAGGCAAAAGTTACCACTTTTAATATAAAACGAATGTGAAATGTGTGAGTCTTCGTGGTGGTGTCGTTGTGAACACAATAATAGTTGATTGTAATATTTACATTGAAGAAATCAAATTGTGAAGAGACGCGACATTTCTAATATGTTGGCAATCCAAGTGAACGTTAGATGAAGGTGCAGAAGTCTATGGAAGCATATGTTAAACTGTTTTCACTTTAAATCATTCCGAGTGTTGTGCCGCTCCATAAAGGGTGTGAATCAAAATTTGAACTGTTTTTGACATTGAATTACACAACAAAGATAAACACAACAAAAGCACTTGTTACGAAGTCAATTGAAAGTGGTGATGAAACAATCAACGTGCCGATAACCAATGTGACATTCACAAAGGGTGTTTGAACACCAATTTACATAGCACCAGAAATTCTAAACCAGAAAAAACACAAAAAAGAGTCCGACAATTCAACAAATTAACATATGAATTTTACCCATTTTCTAATTTAAAATGTTTTTTGCATTATGTTATTTTTTTCTTAATGTGTGAATACTTCTTATCAACCCAAACTAACTTTTTGCGTTAACTTATTGACCTTTCATTATATTCCATCATATATATTAAATTATCATTGCAGGATGTTATAAAAGAGCTGATCTGAAATATATTTTTGAAAAGAATTGTTTATTGGGTTACTTTTCGACGACCATTATGTGTGTTTTTAAATTTTATTTCCAATAAAAATATTTTAAAAATTGGGAATTAGGTTATGAATCTTTAAAAACGGTAAAAAACTGAAACAATGATTATTTTGTTTCGAAAAATTTCCCGATATATTTAGTAATTAAATATATAAAATTGGGGACAACGCAGGACAAAAAACAAGGTTTGAAGAATGACTTTAATTGAATAATGTAAATAGTTATGTCTAATAAAAATGTTAATAATTCGATAATATAATATTTTAAATATGATTATATTTCTTCGTAATAACAAGAGCAAATGATTTTTATTTGATATATAAACAAACTCATTTTATTTAAATACAAAATGCAACACCTTGAAATGTTTTATTTGGCACAAGTCTCCCTCCATCTTCCAACGATGATAGACGTTGCAAACTTTGTTCAAGTGAATCACAAAGCTTGTGAATCAATTTCTTGTTTAAAAGTAAATCCATGGTTTACTGCAAAAGAGGACATTGAAAAATTTTGTTCTATTCACACGACTGACACCATCAACTGCAACTCATTTAATATTTCAAAAGAACTTTTGAATAAAGCCACTTTCATAAGAAATTACTTGGTATCATATGAGGAAACGAGTGATTGGATAACATCAGAATTTTGTAGTAAATTTACCACATTCATTTTGATGGAAAGCGTTGAAATTAATCCAGAAATATTTTCACAAATATTTAAAATTGTAGTCGACTCCAATGTTACCAAAGTCAAAATGACAGTCCGAACATTTTACAACTTTCTCTTGTATATAAAAGAATCTGTTGACATTAAAGTTCAACACAAGTTGTTTAAAACGGCATTTTTGTTCTTCCAACCATTTAAGAGTTACACGACATATATGGGGGATCGAGACGAAACTTCTGAAATGTTTGAGAAAATTAACGAAGCCGTTAAAACACTTTCCTGTGAGATATACATAGATTGGTCTGATGAAAAGGGATTTGATCAATATGTCAGTCTCACGCCAAACTGCAAGAATTACACTTCGACGATATTTTTAGATGTATTAGACACATTCCGTCCAATCTGTAACAACGGTTTAGTGACAGTCAACACAACAGGATTTAGAAAATTGATAGAGACGACTAAACTTGAAAGTGTCATTCGTAATTGTTACCCGACACAAATAGAGTTTGTTGGCAATGGAATTGATATGTCACAAATGCAGTTGGATAACACAATTGAAGTCTTGAAAATAGAATACATAGAACCACGAAACGAAATGGAAATGGGTAATAATACTAACGAGTTTACACTACCAAAGATATTAAATGTGAAAGAAGTGATCAGTGTCAATACGCAAATAACATTTTCTAACACGTGTCCTTCAGTAAAAAAGGTCACACTTGAAAACTTTGCTTGTGAAGTAAAAACTACCAGAAAAGGTGATAAAAAGGTGTGGGAAAGTATACCAAATTTTCCATTTGTTTGTGTTGAAGAAATGTCAATTAAAAATTTGAGAAAGGAAATTGACTTTATGATGTTAAAACAGTTGAAGAAGTTAAATTTGGAATTCACAAACAACTGTGACGTTTTTGTGAATAAAAACTGTGCCAATGATATTAATATGATTCAATTGAATAATTGCACGGTGACAATCGACGCTGAAGAACACAACGATTTTTCTTTTAATATGTTCACAAATACAAATTTCGTGTTTTTGAACGACAAAGACTTGAAATTGCATTTTAAAGGTTGCCAAAATATAAGTGTGACAACACAAAATGTTATCAATTCATTAACACTTGATGATTGTGTCAAACCAACGGTATCAAGCAAAGTAATTAATTTGATTGTGAACAAATCAAAACTGACAAGTTCACATCAAATCAGTGCAGAGAATATAACACTCTGTTCAATCAAAGACTTCATCCCAATAAGTTTTAAAGAAACAAAAAATGTGTTTTTATTTAACATGAACAATTTTGTATTCAAAAATACGTTCGAAAATTGTACGACTCTGAAAGTTGATTACTGCGACAATTGTGAATTTTTGTTTGAAGCAAACAAGTTGGAAACACTTTCACTTAACAGTTCTAAAAACATTCAATTTGTTGGCAATTTTGACTCAATAAAAAATTGTGTTGTTTCGAATAATTCAACCTTTAAATTCCCATCAGAACTCAATTCAATTTTTCACAAAGTTCAAAGTAGCAATAAAGATAATGTTTGTGTCACTGAGATGATGACTTATGAAGAATACAATACGGCTAAAGATAAATTAGTCTCATTATATTCAAGAATGACCAATAATAACATGGGCAACTTGGACACAAAAACTGAAACTGTCAACTTAAAGGATGTAGTGATCGACCATCCAAATTTTTTATTAAAAAATTGTGTTTGTTCGCCCAGAAAGTCAATTCATTTGATTCAAAAAATTGATATTTTAAACTCTGTTAAAATTGAAAATTACTGCGGGAGTTTATCGAATTTGCGCAGTGTCGTTTGTGGGACTTATGAACTTGTGAATTACATTAATCCAACACCGGGAGGCCTTATTCTACTTGGCGCACCCAATGTCATATTTAAGAAGTGTACAGATTTGGGTTTTATGTTGGATAGCGCCAATAGGTCGATTTCAATGTACGACTCATCTATAACACTTAATTTTCAAATTGGAAACATAATAGAAATGTTGATAATTAAAAACACAACAATTAACAATTTTAGTGGTCAACAGTTTTCTGAAAAAGATGCCGTTGTTAAGATGGAAATTGACAATTCGCACATCCCTCGGAATTTATATTCTCTATGTTCAGAAGAATTGATTGAGAGAAATATCACTGATTTTAAAGAAAAACAAAACGTTAATGCTCAAGGAATGAAGTGTGAACACTGCGAAAATATTGTTTTGAATATTGAAAGTGAGACTTCACATGTAGTATTAGAGCATTGTAAAGAGTGTTCTGTTGCTATAAAAGTAAATGAAAATGTTCAACTTGATAATTGTGAAAATGTTCATATCATTGAAAACAAACAGTTATTGCCACAGAACGACCAATATGCTCAACAAAATCGAGCATTTGGGTTTGGGCAAACACGACCTATGTTTTTCCAAAATCAACACACCCAATTGTTTTTAAATGGATTTAAATAATTGTGTTGATTAAATTTTAATCATTTGATTAACAAGTTATATTTTTGTGCGTTTTTAATTAACTTTATACCTGAAAGACATTTTGCTTATTATTTTTGTGGAATATAGATAGTTTAAATATAAAAACATTTTTATTGTTTAATAAAAGAACAAATTTAAATACAAATTGTTTATATTATCCTTAGGAAGTGAAAATTGGATATTTTATATTAGGATTAAAGTCAGTCCGGAAACCTGATTTATTCTGTTAACCTTATTTATCGAATATGACTGGTTGATTTTTTTACAACCCAAAAACATAGAAGCTAAGCTTTTTTTCATCAACGAATAAAACGATTTATTTGGTACTCGATGTAAACAAAAATAATATTGATATATTCAAAAACATGTTACCGAACACACATTAAATGATCAAATACGACAATGAATTAAACAGCTATAACTGAAAATGTAAAACAACGAAAATCAAAGAAATAAGCTGCTTCGTGAGCTTCGAGGAAAGAAAATCGTGGAGTTTTAGACAGCCAGTTTATCAAGTCATTGATTTTCAAAAAGACTGATAACTTTACTTGAAGTTTGTTAACAATATTTTCTTATTATTTTGTTCAAATTTATTACCAAATCAACTGTATTTATTCACTTTTAGATGTTTGAAAATGATTGGTCAAATGGTCTAAATTTTATGTATGTCATTGGTTGTGTTATTGATTATTTAGTTTTGGAATACAGTTGGGCAAACAAACATTTGCCGAGCAAATGAACCTTATGATTTCAGCAATATCCTTCTCGTACTTGCCTTTAATTAATTGGGTCTTAGTGTGGTCTTTGTTTACTTGATAAAGTTCAGTTCTAACACTTTTCAGTTTGTCTTGGTATTTCTGTTTTATCGCTTCATTGCCATCTTTGTCATCATTTGCAGTGTCAAGTTGCTTATGTGCCATGTCGACATCAGCATTCAAGTCGTTGACCATCTTGTCCATTTCCTCCAAATCCTTCTCATTATTCTTCTTCTTCTCATCAGTGAGTTGATCAAATTGGACTGTCAAGTCATTCGCTTTTTGGTCAATTTTTCTTTAGTGTTATTTGCTTCATCTAAGTTGAACTGGACTTCCTGTAATTTGCTATCAGCAGCCTTTCAAAATGCATCTGCACTATCAGCCTTCTGTCTTTCTTCATCGAGTTTGGCTTGAATTTAAGTTATTATTGCATTCAACATGTTCTTCTCTTCTTCTTGAGCAACAGAAGCTGGTGCACTGACTTGGACTTTAAGTGACGAGAATTGTGCATTTATTGTTTTGACTTGGTCTTCCACATTCTTTCTTCTATCAGATTGGTTGAGAAGTTGAGGCAGTCTTTTTCATTAGTTTTGTTGTTTAAAGCCATCTTCTTTTGTGCTTCAAGTGCCTTAATCTGTGATTTATATTTCTCAATCTTCGAAGCGTCTTCAATTGCTTTTTTATATCCTTATTAGCAGCATCAAGTTGAGTGTTCTGTTCTTTCAACGCTACAACCGTTTTCTCCAAATCAACAATTTGGTTGTCTCTCTTGATGACCTTAGTTTTGTCGATATTTGAAGTCCCAACTAATCTATATTTAATATCTTGCACTTGTTGTTCCAAATCTACTATTTTCTTCTTGTTTTTAGTTGTTCTGTCTTTTAATTCATTCAACTTTCTTTTAATTGCTTCAAAGATAAAAAAATATTAATGCACTATAATTAATAAAAGTAAATTTTTTTAACAATACAATAAAAAAAGTATTATAAAATTTAATTAAAACAATTAAAAGAATTTAATATAAATTATTAAAATAATTATCAATTATTAATTAATTATTAATTATTTATTAATTATTAATTATTTATTTATTATTTATTTATTAACAATACAATACTATATAATAATGTAATCCCATAATTTTAAATTTCAAATATAACTAAAATTAAAAACATAACTAATTCAAATATGAGAGCAATGAAGTCAATATAGCGGACCTGAATATTGATATGATGATGGTCTTTATGGATGATCTAACCTGAATATGTATAATATAATAATAATATAATATAATAATATATAATATAATAATATGATAAAATATGATGATGGTTAACATACATAATAGAACCTGAATATTGATATGATGATGGTTGACATGCATGGACTGAGCTCATTTTTATAAAAATTATTGCCAATTTATAACATAACCAACCAAAAACAAAATTATAAGAATACAATAATTATAATTAAACTTCCACAAGTTGTAAATAACCTTTTTAAATTATTGAATAAACTCCAGTGACACCATACGAAGTTGGTACTTGTGGAATTACAAGCAGATTTTCTGTTGGTTGTGATTATAATAAGAACTCTCTTGGTATTTTAAATATTGACACTATAGAAAGTTGGCTCATGTTATCTGCATTAATTCCTTGTGTCACAAAAACGTTTCCCAATTTGACAATTTCGTTACCTAAAATCACAGAATTAGCATCAAATGATATTGTGTTCTCCTTCACTCAATCCAATATAAATGTCGTTTTTCGTGCTTAACGACAACACCTTGTTCAACACAATTTCAATGCCAATATATCCAAGTTGTTTTGCAATCTATTTGCCTTCATATTTTGAAGCTCCCCGATTTTCGTTGAATTTCCAGAAACTTTCAAAATTGCGTTTAAAATAAGCTTTTCAGTGTTCAAAATGTTGTAAGTGTAAAAATATGAAAATAGTCACTCATGGTGACAATTTTCGTTGTCAAAGATCCATGTAGTGCCACTTCACTGTTAGCCGCAACATCCATTTCATCTCATATTAAATAAAATTTAATAATAAATTAAAAAATTCAATTTTACACACTTCGCATTCAACATTTTCGGTGAGTGTTCTTCCATTGTTGAAGATGGTTTCTCTGAAATTGTAAATTCGATTGTACACGACATTCCCTTCCAAAATTAACGTGTGACTTTCTACCTCCCCAGCCTTCTCACATTCCTCATAACTATACGCTCCATTGAAAATGCACTCACAACTTATTTAAGAAGTTTCTAACACAAATTGCGACTCTTCGAGAAATTCACAAGCAACTTTAATTCCATCGTACGATACAATTAGATCCTTCGAACTACCAAAAAACAGAATGTCGTTATCGTCAAATCCAATTAATGGTGTTGTACTCGCACTAAAATTGCCCATATGATGTGAACACCCACTTTCTGTCTTTTCGAGTGTCAAATTTGAAAACACGAAATTGCCGATAGAAACGACTTGTGTTGTTGGATGAGTCACATTTTCACTCAACACAATTTCACAGTCCGTTTCGATTTGCAACGTTTTGTGCGTTTTTTGATATTAAAACTTCAATGGGTCGCATCATTTCCTTTAAAATCCACAAGTTGACTTTACTCGTAAATCGTACGTTCAAATATTCAGTTTATAATACAATTATAATATAATAATTTATACTATTAAAAGTAGTAAAAAAAGCAGTTTTATATCAAGAAAAACCGGTTTATAATTTATTCAAAAGAAAATAACAATTATAAAAATCAATAATAAGTTTTTTATTTACTTTTTAATTATTTTTATACTTAAAATCTTTTTATTATTCCAACCCGATTCACAAAGTCCACAAGTTTATATTTGAGAAAGTTATATCTCCAAATCTAAAATAAATCAATTTTAGTAACCAAAACCATTAGCAATAGTTTGATAAAACGAATTTGTCCTTTTGTCAAAATACGATACAATTAGATTGTAAAATATTCAATATTTAAAATATCATAGATGGTTTAGTTATAATAATGCTTTGATTATCAAAGTTAATAAATTACTCTTTTTCATTTTATTATTTTTTTAAATATTTTTTAGTTTTATTATAATTTAATGAATGAACAAAACGAATACTAATAACTAAACTGCAAAAAGACGTTATGTATAAATAGTTTCTATAGAAACAGATTTCTAGTTACAAAATAATTATACAAAATCGAACAAACTTCCCTTAAACAGCAGGGAAAATATATAATAAATTATTATACCTATATGTTCTATTTTTATTTTATTCTTGTTCTTTTCTCTTGTAAATGTTCTTATTATTTACTAGAATACTATTGTAATATGTATTATTATAGTATTATTACGATAGTAAGACAACATATTAATTCGAAACAACACTCCAAATCGCTCTTATACATACAACGATGATTACAAGGTTCGACGTCTTTAGTTTGATCGCCAATAAGTTCTTTCTTGTTTTTAGTGTGCTTATAGCTGTTTGTTAGTATTTTATTATTTTAAAATAGAATCGACTCATATTGTCTTCTGTAATAAGACAACAAGATATGTTTCTTTGGAGGAGTCAGGTTTGGCTGTTATTTGACGAAATAATATCGCCAGTAGTGTCACCATCGCGAAAAAAAATTGTTGGGAGAAATGTCCTTTAATTGGCTCTTGTTGTTATTGGCGGTGTTTTTTTGTCTGGCTCTTCATTGGGGCTCTCCAATTTCCAATAAGAGAAATTTATTAGCAACATATTTAATTTAAAGTGATCGATGTTATCGATATCGCCGTTGTTGTATTTTTCATATTAAATGCATTTTTTTCGTTTTGATGCTTTGCCCAATTTATGTGGCTTTTACTTTCAATTCAAAACAGTAGAAGCGACAATTTGAAAAGACGGTTTTTGAGTAAATAATATAAATATAAATATAGTATATATATTGTAAGAATTTAAATTAATATAAAGAACGAAGGCTGTATCGACACAACAATTGACCAACACGATAAGTACTTGATGTGTCAATGTGTACACCAATTTGTGCATTCATTTCAAATGTTTGAGTTGTGTAATAGTTGCATTATCGATTCAGAAGAAAACGAATACCACTCCATCATCTCTTCAATTATGTGTTCGTTTCTTGTTCTTGGATTGTCATACTTAGCTGTAGTGACTGTGTCAATTACTTCAGTACTTGTCAAAGTGCTTAATATCAAAATACCAACACAACAAAGTTATTTACAACTTGTGGAAGTTTAATTATAATTATTGTATTCTTATAATTTTGTTTTTGGTTGGTTATGTTATAAATTGGCAATAATTTTTATAAAAATGAGCTCAGTCCATGCATGTCAACCATCATCATATCAATATTCAGGTTCTATTATGTATGTTAACCATCATCATATTTTATCATATTATTATATTATATATTATTATATTATATTATTATTATATTATACATATTCAGGTTAGATCATCCATAAAGACCATCATCATATCAATATTCAGGTCCGCTATATTGACTTCATTGCTCTCATATTTGAATTAGTTATGTTTTTAATTAAATTTTATGATACTTTTTATTTGTATTGTTAAAAAAACAGTTTACTTTGATTAACGAATCCCCACACTGCTCATTAATTAATAATGAACAACATAAGTCATTGTGTTGTCTGTGAAACAGACCACTTTCTCTTAAATGGGTCACATCTTTTGTGTCCCAATTCCTTGTTCAACGTGTTTGAGTGATTTTGAGTGTTTAAAGTGCTTCACCAATTATTTTGTCAATGAAACGTATTCACGTCAGTGAATACGTTTCATTGACAAGACAACACACTTAAAAGGATGTGTTGTTATTGGTATTGTTGTGATTATGGGCGTGAGATGTGTGACAAATGGATATTCCCTTATAAACAACATGCAGTGTGTTCCATGCGTCTCCATTTCTGAACATTGTGCGGTGTGTGATAAATATTTGTATCAGTGTAAAAAGTGTCTGACCAATTGCTACCTTCTAGAAATTAAACATGTGAACTCGAATGTTGCTTTCTGTGTTGGAACAAATAGCTAATTTTGTACTAAATGTTATTTTTGGAGTAAAGTGAGTTTTGAACAGCTCAAACAACGCGCGAATAGTCCGGTGTGGTGGGTCATCTTACTTATAGTTATCACAGACACCACCATTTATCACACCCATCTCATTACTTGCTGCATTTGTTCTCAACAAACCGATTCAAAAAGTAGTTCAAATGACTCAGAATATGAGTGTACAGAAAACATAATGATTTTCGATGCTACAAAAACAAACAAAAAATGGAACTTTTTGAAACATAGTTTGGTTGAAATGGGCACTTCATTCTTGACATTGGAAGTGTCAAGAGTGGCGCGGATTCCCCCTGACCCCCCCCCCCCCGCAAGCGGGGGGAACCACATCCGCGTCCACACAGTACGGACAAGGAAAGTGGGTGACATAGGGACGCACAAACAGTGGCTGAAAAGTGGATTTTTTTTTCAAAAAACACTCGCGGCAAATGTTTTATTTTGGTAAACGGTGTGAGGGTGAGAAGGGACTGTCCCACTTTTGAATAAATAACTTTCAAAATTTTATAGAAAAACATTACATATAATCAAAAATTGTTAATTTAAAAACTATAAAATTAATAAACAATAAAAACTTATATAATTAAAACCAACAAACAAATAATGAGAGATTTTTATGAATCTTGATTTTCAAATAAAAAACAATAATAAATAAACTTAAATAACTACAAGTACTTGATGCCAAGTCAACTCGACCGCTACTCACTCATGATAATTTCTAAATACTTTAAAAATATTGAAGATTTTATTCGACTCATTCAAGTGTGTAAAAAGTTCGAAGATATTCCATTAATGTTCCATTACAACCCAATTTGCCTTCTCACACTTTAATTTCTTTTCGAATGTCGAGACGTATCACTATTACAAGAAAAGCGACAAATATGTTCCCGGCTATTTTCATTACGTTTATGATTATCAAATGTCTTACACCGAATACCTCAAAAAGAGGACTTTTAACCCGACTTTTACACATGTCACATATAACATTGGCGATTATATAAAATACAAAAAAATACGAAGGAGCGACACATCTCAAAGGGAAGGCATTTAAAGATATATCTGAAGACGCAATAAGTTTAGATCTGAGCATTGTTATTTCATTGGGAGATTATGGTTTAAAGTATGTCTACATTTACTTCTGTTGTACTTGGTAATAGTATACAAGAGCTTTCGATCAGTTGTTTTGAGAATGACGTGAAGTTAAAAGAAATCGACATTTCTCATATCAAAACCATTGGCGAAAAGTGTTTCTATTGTTGTGTGGAGTTGTCTGCTATTACATTAGGTGAAGTGTTGTCTGTTGGTTTAAGTTCTTTTTACGACGCGTTTAGCATCAAATACGTGAAGAATTTAGGGACTAAAAATTTGAACACGTTGATCAATTTATCTTCTTCACAAGCTTTTAATTCAATTCATCACAAATTATTGATCACTCAAAACGATATAAATCTTCTTAATAATTCGCAGCAAATCAACGCGTTTTAACTTCCTTTAGATGAATATGGCGTTCAAGCATTCTGCACTGTTAATGGTTTAGAAGACATGAACATCCCAAAGAGTGTCACTCAAATATCTTATAACGCACTTTCAGATACAAATTTGAAGCGACCTGATTTATCAAATGTTGTTGAAATAGAAGATAACAATAACCTTGACGGTGTCACGGCTCTTACTATTCCAGTTAATTTGTATTTCAACAGTCTCATCTTTTTTAACAACTTAAACCGCATTTCGGCAGTCGGGGGAACAGTTATTAAGTCGCCAGTTGCGTGTTTTATGAAAGAGATTCTTGAAGAAAGTGGATTGTCTAGTCAAGTGTATTTGTACACTAAAAAAGACTTTGAATTGACGAACGGGGTTATTCCCTTGTTTTGTAACCATATTGGGAGTGGGGTATTTTGCAACGTGGATATTGTGAATATCGAAATACCAAGTAATGTGACTCGTATTGATTGGGGCAATTTCTGGAATTGTCCCAATGTGGAGAAAATTGCGATATTTTCTGAAAAGGATATTTCAATTAGTATCGAAAATTGTCCAAAACTACTTGAAGTGATCACTAAAACAACTGTAAACTTTGATGTTTCCAATTGTAAAGAATTAACAAAAGTCACTATGCTATACATACCAACAATATCTTTGTACAAAACAGTGGCATTTAATCATTGTAGAAATCTTAAAGAGATTGTTATTGAAAACCCCCAAAAGACTTGATTTTCGAAGAAAGAACATCTTACAGAATTACTCAGTTGGTGAAACTTAACATTAAATATATGGAAGTTGGTATGATAATTATATTGACGATGAACACTACAAACAAGAAGAACAAATTTTGGATGGAGCACAAGACGAAAATGGTTTTGATACTAGAGAAGAAGATGAGAACGTCATTTTAAAAACAGTTGTTATTCCAGAGGGAGTGAATGTGTTAACAGTAGGTTGTTTTAAAAACGTACATTCCATAAGTAAAATCGTGTTCCCTTCAACGGTGACAAAAATACATGACTACGCCATTTCTCAATGTGCTAATCTTGCTGAAGTTGAAGGGTTGACTAAAGAAGTCATTGTCGAACAAAATGCTTTTTATAAGTGTGATAAGTTGCAATTAAATAAATAAAAATTTTATTTCAAAACGTTTTAATATAATTCATTTTTTAAAACCCTTATTTACACACATGGTCCTTAGTTTAATATTTATAACCTTTTATAATTTTCCAATACACTAAAACTTCCCAAGAGCGGGCGGGTGTGGTAATTTTGTTCTCTCAAGAGCGCGCATTTTTGGCCAATCAAACATTAAAAACCACTGGATAGAGTACTCTATTTTTAGTTTCAGTCTAAAAATTCCCGCTCTTGAGAGGTTTTACAGTAATTAACACTTTTTAAATCTAATGTTGCAAATTATTTATTATTAATTACTACTTCTCTCTTCAATTTCTTGTCTCAAAATTTCCATTTTCTACACAGTTAACTGCCGATGAGAGTAATCAACATGCAAAAGAGTTTGATGCCAAAGTTGCCGAAGTGACGAAAGAACTTAAAGAATACATTAAAGACAAAAGGACGGCTGATTGTGAAACTGTATTGCATAAAAACCCTTTGACTTATTAAAAATATAGCACTTTCACACACTTGAAAGAATTGTCAAAAAAGCACTTGTCTGCACAATCCAGAAGCATTGACTCTGAAAGAGTTTTCAGTGTTACAGGAATTGTTTTGACTGATAAACGAAACAAAACAAACCTTCACACTGCTTCAAAAATCACATTTTTGAAAATTCAACTTGAACCCAATTAAATTGTCTTTGTTATTTGGCATGTTAGTATTTGACTTGAATACAAACAATTTCTGTCCTCGTGCAATTTGTCAGATAACTTTTTATCGTCTTTTATTTCGGAGTTGAGACCTGCAAAATAAATCTCAATTTCAAAAGATAAAAATACCTTTTATTTTTAAAGTTATTTCATTTTTTCTTTTTTGCCATTATTTTTTTATTTTTTGTGGTAAGAGAATGAAGTTTTTGAAGGCACGGGGAAGAGATGAAGAAATGAGCATTTTTTTCTTTATGGTAATGAAAATGTTTTTAAAATTAAAAATGTAATAATAATGAATATTGTTTTTTCATTTTGTTTTTGATTTTTGATTTTTTGGTCGAAATGGCATATATCCAAAAGAAACTCCAAGTTCTTTGGAATTTGCAGATTGCGATTATTGAGAAAAAATGAACAGCTTATGCAAATGGAATTTTAATGTAAAAGGGGTATTTTGGGTATTTGTGGTTTGCGATTGCGCACCATAATAATAATCAATTAAATTATTATTTTTAAATTATAATTTTTATTTAGTAGTATATAATATATGTGGATTTAGGACACCCTCCATTTTCTAATAATTTTAACTAAAATCGCGAGGGACGTGGATTTAGGGGGACACCATTTTCTAATAATTTTAACTAAACGCAAAGCTCCCTATTGAATTTAATTATAGATCAATATTTATAGTAAATTTATATTACTATAAAAATATAGTAAATTTATATTAATGTAATTTTTTATCTTCCTTAAAATGACGGAACAGTATATGAATGACATCCCAGAACCTATAATTGTTAAAAATAAAAGTATCTATTTATAAATATTAATTATCAAATAATTTACTAACATCTAAATTATTAACAGTAATATAATGTTCTAATATTGGAAGCATCTTATTTATAATTCCATCTCTCATATTCTTTTGATTGTTTTCTAATTCTTCTATTTTATTAAGTAATAATACTAATTGTTCTTGCTTTTCACTCTCTATATTTTTGACTTTATTGTCAAGATCATTTTTAGTAATTCTAACTTGTTTCTTAATTAATGTTTGTTTACCTTTAATTTTACAAAATACATAACCATTAATATAAATTGTAGCATTTAAATCTTTTGTATTTATTAAGTTAACTTCTGGATTATTATTAATATATCTATTGATTTCCTTGTTACATTGTTTTAACATATCTATTTCTTTTAAATTGTATTTGTTTATAATCTTCTGTAAAGCTATGATATGTTTAGAAGTAATATCGAATAAAGTTTAGCTTTCGGCATGAGTTTCTCGTCAACATAATATTCATTTTCACTCTCAATTGAAGAATAAGACATACCAAATGCTGTTTTTGGTGTTGGAGCTTTGCTGGAACTTCGTTCCGGATACTCTTTCTCACTTCATGTTGCATCTCTTACTTTAATAATTTTAAAAGTATCAATTTGTTTTAATGATTCCGTCTCTGTTGTTTGATTTGTTTTGTCTGAAGATAACAATTTTTTGAAAAATGTTTTTAATGAATTTGATTTTGATTGAGAAGTATTGAGCTTTGTTCCGACTTCGTTATCTGTACTCATTTATATTAAGATAAAAATATATTATTTATACATTACTTAATATATTATTAATAAAGTAATATTAATATATTATTATAATAACTATAAAAATAACATACTCAATAGATATCTTCAGATAAGATGAAAAATATATTACTTTGTTTTTACAGTTTATGAAAACCTCAGAACTACAGTTCGTACGGATCGTAAATATCTATTAAATTATCATCAATGAAATTTCATTAATGTAAAATAATTTTCCATCTTTTCCTTTACAATAACCATAATCCATAAAGTTTTGAAATTTTTGATAATTATCTTTATTATTTAAACACATCGATATTTCATAACCTTTTTCAATAACATTAGGACTAACATAATATTTTACAATTATATCTTTTATATTATTATTTCTAATAAATTGATTAAAGTATTCTTTAAATTTATTAATTCTTGTTTTAAATTTAGTATAATCACATTCTAAGTTAGCCACAACTTTATTATCTTCTTCATTATAATAAACATAATCATTTACGTCTTCAGCCTTCGGCATGATGCTTTGCTCACTTGATTTATCAGAATAATCATGATTTTCTATAATATTTTCACTTTCAAGTTCACTAACATTTTCACTTACATGTTTAGAATCATCTATAAATTCATCAACGTCTTCATCCGACACCACATTTTTAAGAACCGTACAGATTTACGGTTCTCAGACTCAAAGAATCGTAAAGGACAAAGCTCGATATACTTTCTAAACGCTTCATTCATATACTGTTCCGTCATTTTAAGGAAGATAAAAAATTACATTAATATAAATTTACTATATTTTTATAGTAATATAAATTTACTATAAATATTGATCTATAATTAAATTCAATAGGGAGCTTTGCGTTTAGTTAAAATTATTAGAAAATGGTGTCCCCCTAAATCCACGTCCCTCGCGATTTTAGTTAAAATTATTAGAAAATGGAGGGTGTCCTAAATCCACATATATTATATACTACTAAATAAAAATTTAATATTATTAAAACTTTGAATCTTGACTTTTGTTTTTTACATAAAAACAATGAAAACTGAAATTTAAAAATCAATACTGATGAGAGTCAAATTAGAAGAATTTTATCTGATGAACGTAGTTCTCTATATTAACACATTCAAATCTCTTTTGACGTTTTCTACGATCAATAAAAAGTGTATACGTGTAATGAAACGTCTTCAAATCAATCCTCTCGTAATTGAGAAAACGCGTAACTATGATTATTATTATAAATATGAAAACTACATGACAAATCATTATTCTCTCAACGTTTTAAAACTTTTTCCAAACATTAAGACGTTGTATCTACCTTCTTACCGATTTAAAGTTCCAAAAAGTGTGACTTCTCAAATTCAGTATATCAAAGTCGCAAATATGAACGACAATGAATTCCAAATACAAGATGATACATACTTAAAATCAAATGTTAAATATCCAATTGTTTCACACCAATTTCCTTTCAATGTAATTCATCCTGAACATCAATTTAAATTTCAAACTTATGTGATTTATTCCATGAACACTTTTCAGTATTTTGTTGACAACGTTGACAATTTGTATAACGTTAAAGACCTCACAATTGTTGTTCCTGATAAAATTAAAGACAAGAATGATATTGAAAATGAAAAAGATGAAACAATACCATTATTACAGTCAATTCAAAATAAAGTTCATCTATTTTTGGAACTTCACAACTTAAAAACACTGCGAATTATTTCAAGTGGCAAAGGACAATTAAAACACTTTATTCCATTAATATGGGCAAAAGGAGGACTTTTTCTTGATAAAATTTTGTATTTAAGAAACGACAAAATGACGACAGAAGACAGAGAGGTGTTTGGGAAAATCAAAATGTATTTTAAAGTGATGATTATTAAAGTCAAAAATTTGGACACATTGAGTGAACGGAATGTGCAAATCTCTTTTTATAACTTTGAAAACAAAATATATGTTGATGAACACAATATTCCGTTAATTAGAAAATACTCAAACGACGCTTTTAAGTGTTTTGAAACAATTACTCTGAACAAAGAGTCTCAAAATGACATCGATTTGGCGCAAATTAATACGAAAAAATTGATTGTTAATAACGAAGAAGAAACCCCTTGGAACTATCAAATAGAAATTCCATCGACTCTCAACTATCTTTCTGTTGTTGAAAATGGAGTTAAAATAGTTTGTTCCCAAAATGTTGAAATAGAAGTGGCCAAAACACTCAAATTAAATACTTTAGTTTTGGCCGACTCTTTCGACTTTTTTGAATTACCTGAATACTCTTATTTTGTTTTAGAAAATAAAGACATTGAATATATCAAAAAGAATGTGACAAGTGAAAACGAAATACAAAAATATTCCAAAATGACTCAAAAGGAACAAAATGAATTCAGAAATTTTTTAGTGTTAGTGAAAGACCTTCAAGTTTTAGAAATTGAAGAACATTCTCAATTATTGTATGAAAAGGTCGCTGTCACATTTGTTCCAAAAGAAATTACAAGTGACATAAAATTGAATAATATAACAACTTATAAACTTAATACATACAAATTAACACCAATCGAATTTTTAACTTCTTTAACTAAATTAAAAATTTCCTCTATTGGAAGAAATGTTTTGGATTTGGATACTATAAAGTTAATAAAAATCAAGTGTTATAATATTGGTGCTATAACAATCAATGTAAATCCCTCTTTAAAGTCCATTGATCTCACTGAATGTTATAAAGTACATGTTGTATGTCGAGTAGGTGTAGTTTATTTGACTCATTTTGATTCTTTTCACACAAATTACACAGAAGGTACAAACATAGTAGTGGACTATTTAATTCCATATAAAGAACGATGTGAACAAGGACCTTGTTGGGCGGATTCCATTGGGAAAAACTTTAATTATATCAAAGGAATGGTATATTCAAATGAGCCTTACACGTCCAATGCGAATGGGTATTACTCCCCCATTGTAAACGAATTGCCTTATTTACCAGCAAACATTCTTATAGACCGAATGTGTTATAAACAAGATGCATCTGAAATTTGGTTCAAAGCTGTCAAAGAAATTGGCGATTATTGTTTTGAAGACTGTGATTTTAGATATAACAAGAAAATTGAACTTTCAGAAGGACTCACCTCTTTTGGGTTTGGTGCATTTTGTGGTGCAAAAAATCTTGTGAAAGTCTCTCTGCCTTTAAATTTCAAAAGGCTGCCATTTAAAGCATTTTACAACGTCACAAGTCTCACCGAAATTGATGCAAAAGAAAGTCCAATTGAAATCGACGACTATGCACTTTATAAATGTACAAATTTAGTGAAACATCCCAAATTTGTTCCTATGAAAACAGCAAGGCTATGTGAAAAATATTTAATAGACTTCTGTGAGTTGAAACAAATTAAAGTGAACAGTGGAGTGACTGCTTTGACTCGAAGTAATCTCTCCAAATGTATTCAATTACAAGAAGTCCAGTTGCCAACAACACTGACATTTATAGGAGATTATTCATTCATTGGTTGCGTTAATCTGAAAAGTATCGTCTTTGGGGAAAATGTCGTTTTTGGCAAACATTTGTGTTTTGCTAATTTGGTGCATTTACAAAATATCGCTGTGCCTACAACACTGACTAAAATAAGAAATTTTATGTTCAAAAATTGTAAAGCACTTTCAAAAATTGAAGTGCCAAATTCAGTTGTAAAGATTGGAGATATGGCTTTTCACGGGTGTCAGTCAATCACTACTTTTGTTATTCCAAGCTTGGTGTCTACAATTGGGTATATGTGTTTCAAAGACTGCAGTTCACTGATTTCATTGTGTTGTTCTTCCTCTCTAATATTACCAAAGTCTACTCTAAAAGGAACAAATGCGTTTATTACACTATTTTGAAGTAAATTGGTTTCAGTATTTTTAATGGTTTTTAGTTCAAACTAACATTTTTAAAAATTTCTATAATTCATTTTTAAAGATTATATTTTATTTTAAATATTTAATTTTTGTGTATCATTGTTACAATTATATTATATATTTTATATTTTATATTTAAAATAATGCTTTTTACTGTAAATAATCGTATATTATAATTCCACATTTTCGGTAATTATTAATTTGGAAACGACTGCTATTTTTGAGTATCATTGATTCAATTAAATTATATATTTAATCAATAAATAATGTTTTAGTAATAAATAATCATATATAATGAAAAGTTATACATATCAATATAAAAAACAAAACATTTACATTATTTTAAATGTTATACAATTTCACAGCGTCTTTTCTTTGTCGTTTCAGACAATGGTATCTCTTCATAAAGTTCTTCGTTTGTTTTGGATTCCAAAATTTCATTTATTATTGCTAAAAAGCACTCAGAAATATTTACATTGTTTTTTGTTGATATTTCGAAAAATGGAACACCCCATTCTTTTGCAATATTCTCTCCTTCTTCTTTTGAAACGCTTCTCTGTGTCTCTAAATCGCTTTTGGTTCCACATAAAACGCATGGGAAACTCTCGACCAAATAATTTCGTAGAATAGCTTCATAAATAACACACGCGTAAATAAAAGAAGGCTTTGAAGTTATTGAATAAACTATAATAAATCCATCAATATTTTTAATTTTTTCGAAAACAAAATCATATGGATCTTGTGGTGTCATATGATCAAATAATGAGACGGGTATAAATTTTCGATCGAGTAATACTTTTTTAAAAAATTCTTTTTCTGTCAACGTGTCAATTTTATCATAAAATTTATTTAAACAAAACTGGTATATCATCACTGAACGCCCAGAAGATACGTATCCCATAACAATGGGGTGAATTGTTTTTATTCTTTGCATTTTAACGAATGAATATATTAATAAGATCTTTTGTTTTAGTTTCATAATGATTTTTACATTATGATATGTTTAATTTATCGTTATTTTTTGTGTGTTTGTTGAAAAAAAATATATTTCTGTTTCTTTTTAATTGTTATATTATTAATAAATATTATAATTCTAATACCAATAAATATATTTTAAATTAATTTGTAAAAGAATTATTTCATGTTTACAATAATCATCACACAACAAAAATATTTGTTTGTAATTTGCTATTATATAAAATTATAATTTAACGATATTTTATCTGAAATTTTATTTCGTGTAAATACTCATACAATATTTCAAAAAACATTTTTATCAACTAACCAACTTAATTTATTCATTTACAATACTGATAAATTACCTTATATAGACATTACTTAAATATTTGTTTGTTTATTGGGTTTTTTGTGTTTATTACAATACATATTTTTCCTTTGTAATAAGTGTAACATTATTTGATAACGTTAATTAAAAAATAATTGAAAACAAAAACAATTTTTAAAGATAAAAACAATGTTTTTTAAATAATATAAATTATCAACAACTCAATAATACATTTTTTTGTATTCCATTTTATTGTTGATTGAAAATATTTAATTATCTTTATGTGTGATTTTTTATCCTTTTCATTATAAAGAATAAATAATATATATAATTACAAAATTTGAATTGTGTTTTTGTTATATTTTAATTACAAAAAAAGGAAATTTTGGAAACACTAATATGACGTGATTTCTGAGATTAATAACAGTTCAATTCAATCAAATTTATTTAAACATAAAAATTGTAATGAATAGATCTTATTGAATAAATATGTAAATTTTTATAATTATTTATTAGTTTATCTAAATTAAAGGGAGATGTCTTTTATTGCGAGATTTTTTTGAAATTTTTAATTGGTCTTTGTATAGTAAATCAATGGTTTAATAAGTTATAATTAATAGAAATAGAATATGAAATGACAGAAAACAGAATAATCACAAATTTCATTCCAAAATCACATCAAAATTGTTATGTGACAGAACTATTTTAAGGAACGAGGAGGTATAAAAGGGAAGTGTGAGCACTGTAACACCAAATGCCACCAATTATCAACATAGACAATTGCACTGGATGTGGAGCTTGTGTCTCAGCGTGCCCACAGAACGTACTTGAGCTCAGAAACGACAAGTCATTTGTAGCAAGACCAGACGACTGCATTGAATGCCATGCATGTGAAGAGGCGTGTGGTTTTGATGCCGTCTCATTCCCTTAATCAATTATTTCACTTTAGTTATTTATATGTGTTTCAACTATATTTTTATAAACAAAAAAGTAATTTGATTTGTAAAAATATTTATTATAATTTTATTTATTAAAATCAATTACATTTTTCATCAAAAATTTTTTTTTTATTTTAATAATAATGAAATTATATAATTATTATAATATAATAATTTTTAAAAAAATGCACCTAATAATTATTTTGAATGATTTTGTGTTGAAAGATTTGATAAAAAACTATTTCGATTGTTATTTCAACTCATTTTCAACAATTTAAATAAAAATGATTGATAAGTATCACATTATGATTGTGTCACAATATTTTTTGACAATCAAAGATTTTATCAACTTGGAGTTTGTGTGTACCAAGTTCCAAGGTAATATGACAAAATTTCATTACAATCCAATTCCACTCACTCGAAAAACTATTAAATTTTTTCCAAAAATTGAGACTTTTTATCTTTGGAATAAAGAAGATGAACGTTTTGGATATTTAGCATTGACAAATTATCAAATAATGCAATGAAAAAGAAACGTTCAAATGTGCTATTTTTAAATTACAACGCAGTGAAATTATAGAACATTGGATAAATTATAAAATAAGTTTAGAAATAATAAAATGTTTGTGTATACACTTTTATAAAATAGTTGTAATGTTTGGTGTCGAATTGGAAACTGTGAATCTTTTTAAAAATTCTATTTATATTTTTAAAAAGGTATTTTGCTCTAAAATTACAACTTCATTAAATTTATTGCATCGAGAAGATATAAACACAATGAAAGATAAATATTATTCAAACTCTAAAATGAGTTCTTATGTATTCAAAAGTAAATTATTTTCACTTGGTGAAGGTTGTTTTTCGTGTTGTGAGGCTCTTACTAATATTGTACTTCCATATACACTGACAAGTATTGGAAAAATGTCATTTTGGTATTGTACTTCTTTGCAAAGAATCCACATTCCAGAATTTGTAAAAGTTCTCCCAGAAAGATGCTTTAAGTGTTGTGGCAAACTTTCAGATGTTAATATTCATAGTGGAATATGCCGAATAGAAGAAGCATGTTTTGAAAAATGTTATTCACTCACAAGTCTTAATTTAAAAGATACAACTTTTATTGGTAAAAAGGCGTTTAAAAAATGCACTTCTCTGTGTTCTGTGACTTTACCAGATGATATCAAACAAGTGAATGATGAACTTTTTGAAAAATGTAGTTCATTAAGTAAATTGGAAATTCCAGAAAATGTCACGTCACTTGGCATAAAGAGTTTTTATTGTTGTCGATCTCTCACAAAAATGGACATTCCAAATAGTGTTGAAAAAATTGGTATAAAATGTTTTGAAGAATGTTTTTTACTTCAAAAAGTAAAATTATCCAATAAATTAACAACATTACCAGAAATGTGTTTTATGAATTGCAGTTCACTTTGTTATGTTGAGATGATTTGCAATATAGAATCGTATGGCGACTCATGTTTTAGGAGTCGTATCAATCTTACACAAATAACACTATCATACAAAACATATAAAATTGGATATGATTGTTTTGAAAATTGTACATCACTTCAAAGTGTTAAAGTGAACGATTTCATTTCAAAGACTTTACATGTTTCAAACGAGATTACAAAATGTGAAATTGGTGGAAATGCTTTTCGAAATTGTTTGTCACTTAAAAGCTTTGAAGTTCCAGTTTTAATGACATCTATTGGGTTCTCTTCATTTCAAAATTGTTCCAATATAACAAATATGCAACTTAATGAAAATATGATAATGCTGCATGATAGTTCGTTTAATAAATGTTCAGCTCTTAATTCAATCGAGTTGACAAATTCACTTCAAATCATTGGGAACAACACATTTTGTGAATGTAAATCATTGAAGTCCATTCTAATACCAAATTCAGTCACTTCAATTGGTAATGGTTGTTTTAAATCTTGTTCGAAACTGACTCGTGTCGTTTTGCCTTCTTTGTTAAATGAACTTGGTCATTCTTTATTCATGCAATGCAATAGTTTAAATGATATTGTAATACCAAAAACCATTAATTCAATTGGGATGTACTGCTTTAGTGGATGTAAAAATTTAAAATGTGTTGATCTACCAACAGGTGTTACTGCAATACCAAATTGGTGTTTTAGTGGGTGTTTATCTTTAAGTAAAGTTGTAATAACATCTAATATAAAGAAATTTGGTGAATATTCATTTTATCTTTGTGACTCACTTAATACCATAACAACACCAAGCAGATTATCTCTTTTTAATAAATGAAAGTGACGCAAAAAAATTATTAATTTTTTTTTAAATTTAAACTTTTGTTTGGTTCAAAAAAGTAACCCCATTATTTATTGTTTTTCTGTTTAAATTTAAACCAATATAAAATAATAATAATTTTAAAATATAAATAGTTTATTTTGTTTATCATTTACAATTACAGTCCCTCAAGCAATCCTTATGGGAAAAGCTTACCTTCTGGGATTGTTTTTTATAGTGCTCATTGGTTTCAAATTGATAATATTTTTTATTAACAAATTATTTATTAAATCCAAATCAATCAAAACATTTTTTTAAATAATGTTTTTCATAAAATTATTAAAAAAATAAACTATTAAATATAGAATTGTATTTACTAAATTAACTATATACTGAAAAACAAAATCAGATGGCAAGTTTTTTCAATTAAGCTAACTTGAGTGACTGTATGTACAAAATGTAATAAAATGTTTATAAACATCACTATTCAAAATATAGTTTATTGTATCTTTTTTAAATACATATTATAATATATACTTTTTTGCCACAATTATTAATTGATTATATAAATCACTTATCGAACAATATTGTGTTTGTTTGTTTTTTAAATACTTCAAGAAAGTGTAAGAATATTTCAAATTATATAAATACTTTTTTTTGCAACAAAAATATAAAAGATACAATGGAGTGTGCGGCCTCAAAAGCAGATTTCTGTTCTTTTAGTTATTCTCCAAATGGAGCTCCAAAAGTTGACACAAACATCATTTCTGCCAACTTTTCAACTCTTCAAACCGAAATTGAACCTCTTCAAAGTGAACCACCAAAGTGTCCATCATGTGGTTCATATTTTACTGTTAATTCCTTTAAGGAAGATGGCAACATAATTTGTCCTTTTTGTAATTCAATAACTCACATATCTTCTCCAAAAGACAGTTATATATCTGAAGAGACTGTAGAATTGGTTTTGTCTCCTCCCGAACTTCAAAAACTTGAAAAAGTTGAAGAAGAGTCCGAAAAGGTCATAGACAACAAAACAATTGTTTTCTGTATTGATGTGTCAGGTTCTATGGGTTCTCAGCCAACCGACAAAAATGGGAAAACAATGAACGGTACTTCTGTTTTGGAAGTGATCAAGTCAGCTATGATTCACCAAATCAAAGCAATGTTAAACGAAAATCCACAACAGAAGGTTTGCATTGTCACATTTGATAGTGTTGTCACAATCCTTGGAGACTGCACTAAAACACCAATAACTGTGAATCACCATTTTATGAATGACTTCGACAGTTTAGTCGACGTTGCAACCGAGAAAATTGAATTAACAACACTGGAAACGTCTTCTGAGAAAATCCTTTCAGCACTCAAAGCACTTAGTCCAGGAAGTTGCACTGCTCTAGGCCCAGCACTTTTAGTCTCAACTGTTGCTGCTGGAAAACAGAATAATGGCTCCGTAATTTTGTGTACTGATGGTCTTGCAAATGAAGGACTTGGAAGTTCTGGAAGTCAAAATGAAAAATTATTTTATCAGCATGTTAGCGAAGTGGCAAGAAAGAATGGCGTCATAATAAATGTCAATACCGTGAAGGGGTGTGATGCTAATATGAAAGTGATTGGTGAATGTGCTGTACTCACCGATGGACAAGTGATGGTTGTTGACCCAGAAAACATCACAGAAGCATTTAAAGGTGCGCTTGACTCCGAGTTGATCGCAAGGCAAATTGTGTTGGACATTTTCCTCCCACAAAGTTTGTACGTCAAGGACGAATTTTCAAATGAAAAAGTGAGTAAGAAAAGCGTTGATGTTGGGAACGCACTTGATGACACAACTTACCAATTTAAATACGCCAAGAGAAATAGTGAAGACAAATTGGAGACTTTCACAGTTCAACTTGGGATTAAATACACCAAGAAGAATGGAGGAGTCTATTACAGAATCATCACAAGAAAAATCGAAGTCGCTAAAGAAGACGAAAAGGTCGATTTGAATGGAGAAGTGTTGCAGACGTATTACATTCAGCAAACTGCTGAACACAAAAGAAGAGGATCTATTGAAAGAGCTAAAGAAAATATTGGGATGTTCAGACAGGCACAACAAGTCTCTAAACAGGTAATGCAATCAGAATATAATACTTATGCAGATGACATGGAAAATAGACTCGAGGAAGATAACGACGAAGCGTGGGCTGTTAATCAGACCGCTACTAAATGGAGTAAGAAGAAAGCAAAGAAATTTAGTGAAAAGTAATCACATTATTTTTATTGTTTTTGTATTTATCGTTACATTCGAATAAATAAAAATGAGTGTATAATATATATAACATCACTAATATTTAAAATTTTTTAATTTGAAAAATATAATTTCTTTTATTGTGTCTTCTTATATTAAAATAGTACAATATTCCACTTATTTAATTACTCACTCGAATTGGCGTTTCCTTCGTCAAGAAAATAATGATTTTAATTGAAGGTAATTATAAAAGCTTTAAAAAACTGAAAATAAATAAAACAAATCCTTTTTATTGAATATTTAAAAATGCTTAATTATAATTTTAATGCATTTTTTTGAATTGATCACTTTAATTAGAGAGATGGCAAGACAAATTTCCAGTTTCAAATTGAGTAAATACCATATCTTCTTTAAACAAGCCATTTAAAAAATTTGGGTTATAAAAGTGTTAATAAAAAGTTTTTAAAAAAACACTTTTTATAAAAACAAAGAACCAATTCTATAGTAAAAATTAGTAATTTTAACTTCTAACACTTAACTCCACTTCACCTCGTATTTTCCCAAATCGACTGGAAGTGGTCGAGACGCCAACATAATCTTCTCTTCCATTTCTTCAATCACCTCAGACACTCGTATTGAGCAAAAGTCTTGTTTTAATTGTGCGCTCTCTGCCTTCATCATTTCATTGACCTTCTCAATTTGTGCATCAATTCGACTCTCTTGATTACACACCCTTAAATAGTCTCCAATAGAATACACCATACACCTATCAACTTCATCTCCTTCAAGTGAAGCAACCTCTTTCGATGTCACGCCCATTTCTAATATCAAACTGTTGGCCTTTCCTGAATATAAAATGTCGTCGACTTGTGGTAACAACTTTTTGTAGCGGAGTAACATCTCGTGCTCGGCCTTTGTCGGGAATTTTGGGGTTCCAAACGTTCTATTTCGCATCATGTCTTCCATCTCAACGCACTTGTCCAACTTCTTTTTGTTCGACTCAAGTTTCTGTTTAATTTTGTCGCGGAACTCTTTAACTTCTTTCTTTGCTGTTGAGAGGTCGGTGATGTGTTCCAACGAACTTTTCTTTCTAATTTTGGTTCAACATAAGTCCACTTCCGTCTTTCCCTTTTTGGGTATTTTGGTGTGGGAAGTTGGTTGGATAGACTTCAAGGAACGCGTCCAATGTCGTCTCTCTGATTTCGTCATTCAGTTTTGCAGTGATCATCATAGCCTCAAAGACGGCGTATTTGTCGATTGGTTCTTCCTTTTTCTTCTCTTCTAAAATTTTCTCTTCAACTTCTTTTGGTGGTTTCGCAATTTCTGTTTTCCTTTTCTCTGCGGAAACCTTTTTTGCGGGTTCTTCTTTCTTTTCAGTCGTTTTTGGAACATTTTTTTCAGTCTTCTGTTCGGTCTTTTGTTTTTTCACTTCATTTGCTCGAGTCTTCAGCCAATTTTTTGGTGGCTTCCAATTGCTCATTCTTGCTGTTCTGAATGTCAATATCAAGACTTTTGTAATACTTCTTAACCAACTCATATAAAGTCAAAGTAATTTGTCCTAACTGTGGAGGTTGTTGTTTTGGTTTTGTGAGGTCTAAGAAATGCCATTCGAAAGCTTTGCGACGTTCTCCGATTGAAGTTGTACTGTTTGGCTTCGTCACAACAGAAGGGTTTTGAGTCTTGTTTGATTCCAAACGGATAGTTTGTTTGCATTGAATGACTTCGCACAGAGCGGTGACAATGTCTGACGCCCAATGTTGTAAGATGTTAAATTTTGTTATTGGAAATTCGGTTGGGTTATATAAGAAGTTGTGGAGTTTTAGAAATTCATTTTGACCACATTGCGACAAACTGGTCAGCTCAAGCATTAAAATCATTGCAAGTTCTTGTCCACGTTCATAGTAATAACAGTCGTGAAAGCCGTTTACAATTTTTAATAGAGAGTCATGAAGTTCTTTTGGAATGTCCAACAAACTAATTCAACGGGCGACGGCTTGAAATCCAAAAGCGGGTTTGTTTGGGTTAAAATGATAATCCATGTTTACTTTTCCAAGATCTTTTCTTATTCACTTTCTTTTATAAATTTATTTATTTATCAAAAAAAACTTTGCTTAATTTACACCAATTTTTTTGAAAAATAAAACTTAATGGCTGTTTGGCGACTTTTTGAGTTACTTCAAAAGTCGCTGACTTCTTTTAGAACTAAATAACTATAAAATTTAATAAATTTTACCAGATTCATTATTATTTCAAAAATGTGTAAAAACACAATAATTGTTATAATTTGTAATCTTATAATAAAATAAATATAATTTTAAAAATGATTTGAGAAGATATAATTGGGACGGTATTAGTCAATCGGATTGGAAGAAAGCCATAACAGTTGTTTGGATTTGCAAGAACAGCAATTTGTTTGATGTTTATATGATCGGAACTGCTATTTTCGAACCATTCTCGTCCAAGTTTGGTCACTTAGCGACGTTCTGTACATGTGGTGGATTGATGATGATAGGGTTCTCTTTGTAGTTCATTGTCTCGGAAGGAAAGGGCGTCGATATCGAAGATGTCGATGTTCTCGATGGGTATGAGAGGTTCGAAGACGACACTTCCAAAAGTGTAAAGAAATTAAAATGATTGTTATTTACAATCATTTTTATTTGATAGTTGTCAAGATACTAAGGAAGAATTAAGTCCAGTCAAAGGCGTCCATTTGTCGTAATTATAATTGTCAAACTTGCTTAATTGTCGCACAAATGCCAATCATTTGGTGTACGACAATTAAATATTTTGTTTTCGAATCTGTAACTTTTGTTGAATTAAAAACTAAATTTTTTATAAAAAATAAGTTTTAATATTAAATAGAATTTTCTACAAAATTCACTCATTACGACAAATAGATACGTTTTTCTGCTGGATTCACGACAAATAGACGCCTTTGACTGTAATTATTTGTTATTTTTAAACAAAAATTAATTCACAATCAAAACCAAGAAATAATTAATAATTTATTATTTTTTTATTTTTATAGTCTCAAAATAATAAAATCAATTTGTGAAGACAAAAACAACAATATTATAGTTAATATTATTGTTTTTGGAAAGAATAAAAACAAACAGAAACTAGTGCTTTGCAGTTTGTGAACTGAAGTTTTTTTCTATTTTTTTTCAAACTGAAAAAAATCCCATTCAAGAATTTAATAATTTTTAATAGCTTCATCTCCACTTTTGGGATTTATTTATTTAAACAAAATTATTAAGACACAAAATCATAAACTGTAAAACTGAATCAAGTTTGAAAAAAAATATATAAAAAACCCCAAAACTTTGAATTTTTTTTGTTTTTGTCAAAAATCCAAATTATGATCAAAAATGCATTTTTTGTCAAATTTTGTAAAAATGGTTATTAAAATAAACTGTGAAAAAAAACAAATAATATTAATCCTAAATAAAAAATGTTTTCAATTATTTACACAACAAAGTTTCAACACATTAAAACGTTTAAATAAATTATTAACAAACATACATAATTGTTAATATATACGAACAGTTAAATAAAATTTCAAGTTGAATGATTACTGTTAATGACATTGTTATTCTCAAATATTGATTGTAACTTTTCTGTTATTGATGTGACATTTTGTTAAAACGAAGAAAAGTCAAATATTATCAATTGTAACTTATTTCATTGTTTAACTACGTTAATGTTCATCATAAGTTAAAACTTATTGTCTATAATTACGTGTTAATAAGATAATAAATACAATTAAAAATTATTTTTTTGATATTACAACATACAACAGTAAACACACGTATTTTGACAACATCACAACATTTATTATTGAAATAACTGGGTGTATTTATTATTTTGAAAATTATTTAAAAACAATAATTTATAAATAATTGTTTTTTTTGCTACTCTTTTGTTTTAAAAAACAGTCTTAAAACATAATAACTATCAACTATGTAAACATGTGAAATCAAATTAAATTTTTAAATGATAACATGAAAATAATAAATATCACATTTTACAGCATTTTTATCTTTTGACTTAAGCTTACAAATACATGCACATGAGATATTAAGATCTTTTTTCCGTAGTCTAAGTTTTAATAGTTATTTATTTTTAATTGAATCGAAAAAAAAAACAAAAATTGTTAATATTTTCATTACGTTATAAAACCTGAGTATGTAAATCCATATGATATAGCTTGTTAATTCAACTTTTGTGTTGAACTAATTATATTTTGTGGGTACTTCATAAATTTGAATGATCATAAAAATAATGAGAATCATATACTTTTAAACAAATTTTATTCGATATAATGTTGATATTATATACTCAAATTGAAAACAACAACTCAAATATAAATGAATAATTTCAACTAATGATTTGTTGGTCTTTACTCCATAAGTTCAGATCATAATAATTAAATATTTTGCCAAATTCATAAAAAAGGTTATTACAAATGTATTAAAGTTGGTGAGCATCTTTGTTCTGTTATAAACAAAGAGTCTTAAAAACAAATATTCAAAAATTAATATTAAATATGTGTCGACATATATAAAAAGTTACATTGAATTAAAAATCATATGTTTTCAATTTATTTGTTTTTGTATCATGTCATGTTTAACAATTGTTTTAAAGGTTTAAATGTAATATGCAATATTGTTTAAATTATGATGGCGTAAAATATACAAGCTGTGAATAAATCTACAGTCTCTATTTAAAGGTTATTTAATAACCTTTATTGATTATTACAATATTTCTAAAAGTGGTACAAAAAAATATATCTTAATTGTTTCATTATTTTTTTGCTGTTTACTTAAGGGGTAGACCTTTCCCACCTTCACCCGTTTACCAAAATAAAATATTTGCAGCGAGTGTTTTTTGAAGGGAGTCCACTTTTCAGCCACTGTTTGTGCGTCCCCATGTCACCCACTTTTCTTGTCCGTACTGTGTGGACGCGGATGTGGTTCCCCCCGCTTGCGGGGGGTCAGGGGGGATCCGCGCCAAGGGAGGACTTGGAAAGTGGGTGAAACTGTGCACAAACAGACTGTTTGAGTGCGGCCTTCAGAACCTTCTTTTCAATGCTCCGTCTCACTCGGTTTCCACTAACTCGAGGTGATTTTTCGGCATTTATTGAATTCGGGAACCAGACCTAATATTATCCAAAACGCCCATTTACTATAATTATAATTATAAAATTATAAAATATAGTAAATTAATTCTATATTTAGACTGGGTGAGGGTGGGAAAGGTCTGCCCCGTTTACTTAATGTGATGTTTATATAAAATTATTGCTATTTATTTGTCCACCAGATAACATTAAAAAACTGCCCCAATTTTCAAACTTCAAATGATTTGTTTATCATAAAAAATACCAATTATTTGTTTTGGATAATATTAACAATTTTGTTCTTTAATTTATTATTTTTTGTTAAACTACTTTTTGGTTCAAATTTTTTAGTTCTTTCAATTTTAATATTGTTGTATACACGTTTTCAGTTAATCATATTATAGACAATGTTGATGTAATTAGTTTCAAAAGTGCAATTTCGGGAAATCTATCATATACGGCTC